GACTGCCCAGTTTGTTCATCCTTTTCCAACCCTCCCTAATCTCCCCAGATGGGTGATCTACAATGACCAGAAAGTGTGTGCCTCTGAGAAGCCACCCAAGGATCTGGGCTACATCTACTTCTACCAGAGAGCGGCCAACTAAGAGCCTGCCCTGACCCCTTACCACGGAGAGCAGGGGACTTACCACCTGGCATGAGGGAGAGGGGCTGGGGCATGGACTGCAGCCTCCCTGCTCTGTACCCTTTTTCTTTTTGTCCCCAGCAGCAGGGAGGCAGCTAGAGGCTCTAGGAGAATGACCAAGCAAAGTGGAGGGACACTCGAGAGACTTTGGGGATGGAGCAGGAAGGGGTGGGAGGGTGGACACCTGTCTGTGAGGAGACTATGTTGCTTCCCCTCCCCCTGAACTCCCAGATCTCTGCTTCTCTAATCCTGCCAGCCCCTGGCGTGGAGGGGGCTTGTTTGTGTGTGTGCGTGGGTGTCGCTTTGTGCAGCCTCTTCCACAGGACAGGGTGTCCCCGCTCCCCTCCCCCTTCGTGTTTGTTTTCTGTGTGGTTGGGCCAGGAGGGATCTGAGGGAAATGGGGAACCCCTCGCCCTCTTGTCTAAGTCTTTCCCCCACCCTGTCTCTTCCCTGTCCTTCTCTGGAAAATGCCAAAATACACGATGTGAATAAAAGTACAATGGCTAAATTGTGTCCTGTTTGATATCTTGGGGACACTTATCTTCCCTGGGGCTAGCAGGAGGGCCAGTGTCTAAAAACTCTCAGCCCTGCTCCCTCCATAGGCAATTCTCTACTTTTCAGTAGTTCTAGAGCTCTTGGGAAATTGAGGGTGAGGTGAGGGCTGGGGGCTGTCAGATCAGGGGAAGTGGAGTGGGGTGACAGAGCAAAGATGGTGAAAAGCCCTTCCTTCCAGCAGTCACACACACTTCAAGTAGAGGGTCCAAGTGGATATTTCCCAAATGTCCCTAGTCACTAGGGACTCCTGGGCCTGGGCTCCAGGCCCTGCAGCCTCTTCTCAGGCCTTGGCCAACTGGAGCAAAAAGTGGGATACTCCTGCGGGAGGGGTTCTGAACTGCCTCTTAGCTGCACAGTTTCTGTGCCAATGTGGGCCGTCCCTACCCCTCTGAACCCTGTCACTTGCCTGGCTGGGCGTGACAATAAGCTAGACTTTACCTGCGGGGGGTCAAAGGTGCCTGCTCACCAATCCATGTAGCTACTCGGGAAAGGGGTTCCTTTCCCCACAGTCGAATTGATGCCCCTAAGAGCCCTCTCAGTCCTCAGCAATGTGGTCTAGGCCAAACAGTTGGGAGTGGTCGGGTCCGCTCACTCCCCTGGGAATCACTTCTGACCCTCTGGGGGGCTGTCGTGATGTGGGGATCTCCTGAGCGCAGGGGCTTCTCACAGTTCTCACCTCCCCAAAGTCAGGCAACTAAGGCTGAAGCGACTGAGCCCCGACGCCCCTAGAACGTTGCTACAAGAAAGGGGGTAACGTCAGAACCCTGCCACACGGGCGGCGGGCGGGGCGGGGGGAAGGACTTGCAGGCAGGGGCCGGGCTAACCATGGCCGAGGACGGGAAGGAGGCGGGGTTCTACTTCACCGCGCTTTATATAAGCGGGCAGTGGCCGCGGCTGCGCGGTGATCCTGACCTTCAGGGTGTCGGCTCCAGCGCCATGGCGCCCTCCAGGAAGTTTTTCGTTGGGGGGAACTGGAAGATGAATGGGCGGAAGACGAGTCTGGGGGAACTCATCAGCACCCTAAATGCGGCCAAGGTGCCGGCCGACACCGGTGAGCCTTGCCCGCGAGGGGTCGTGCTGGGTGGGGGAGGGCGAGCGTGGCAGCCACCCTCTCCTGGGCTACCGGGTGTCCGCGTGGACTTGGATGCAGGGCTGGGGACTAAGGCTGCCAGGAATCCAGACATTGACCCAGCAGCGCCGTGGCCCTGCAGCTGCAGTACCCAGGGTGTGTCGTGGGGTAAAGGCGGGGCCACATTCAATGGTGCCCTCGGAGATTGGGGCAGGAAAGGACTTCTCGGGTCATCGGAAGATAGCTCCGAGATGCGGACCGAGCTGCACTGCCAGGAGCGGGGGGTGGGAGCGGAGGCTAGCCCCAGCCGCGAAGTGGGGAGCAGGCGGCTGAGTGGGCGTGCGAGCCTCCAGCTACCTTCCCCCTCACCGGGCTCCGTGCGCCGCTGCACGTAGCCGGAGACTCCTCCCCGCGCCTTGCCGGGAGGGTCGAGTGCCCCCTGCCGCACTGCTTCAGCTTCCGGAGCTCTCAGCTCTGACCCTTTCCCCTCGGCAGCCTGGGGCTGAGCAGGTGCCAAACAGGCTGAGCTGTTTGGCAATGAGGAGCGATCCTATGGCTTTCTCTAACCTGGGACCGGGAAAGCGCAGGGCCTCTATGAGCTGGTTCGCTCCCTGCCACCCGCTTGTAGAGTGCTGTCCTTAGTTCTTCCCATGCAGCCAAATCACAGAACCTTGGGTCTGATCAAAAGAGGCATCCCCTTCTGGTTTATTCCCGAGAGACCCCAATACAAACCCAAGGAGTTGGTCATTTCTGTTTTTGCTAAAAATCCTTGCCTTGCCTGCGGGAGGTGGGAATGGGCTATTTTAGAAGGGAGAAGGAGTTGGCCCCCAGAGAATGCTGAGTCTAAAAGGTGCCCAGACCCAGAATAGCCCAGGGAAATCGGAGCCACAGCTTTTAAAAGAGCAGAGGGAAGGGCAAGGGCCATGGCCTCTCGGGCACCTGGAAGGCTCTAGGAGTTGGGAACAGGCCCAGTCTGGGCTGAGATGTGGACAAAGATCATCTTGCTGGGGTGAAAAGAGGAAAAAAGCAGAACCAAGATAGCTGGTGAATGCTAGGGGCTCCAGAGCACTGGATGGAGTCTGGAGAATGAAGACTTCTTGCGATCTCATCCTCAGAGGTGGTTTGTGCACCCCCCACTGCCTACATTGACTTCGCCAGGCAAAAGCTAGATCCCAAGATTGCTGTGGCTGCGCAGAACTGCTACAAAGTGACTAATGGGGCCTTTACTGGAGAGATCAGGTGAGATGTATGTGGGAGAAGGGTGTGTGGGGATCCTGTCCTCACTTTCCTCATTGAGTGGAAAGCTACAGGTGGGCTCCCTTCGGAACTGTGGCTTCATCTCTTCCTTTAGCCCTGGCATGATCAAAGACTGTGGAGCCACGTGGGTAGTCCTGGGGCACTCGGAGAGAAGGCACGTCTTTGGGGAGTCAGATGAGGTTAGTAACCAGGAGAGGAGATAAGAGATGTGTTATTCCAAAAGTGATGTCTCACCAAGACTGTTCCTCAACAGCTAATTGGACAAAAAGTAGCCCATGCTCTGGCCGAAGGACTTGGAGTGATCGCCTGTATTGGGGAGAAGCTAGATGAGAGAGAAGCTGGCATTACTGAGAAGGTCGTTTTCGAGCAAACCAAGGTCATCGCAGGTATCTCTGGAGAAAGGGACATATAGGCCGAGCCCCAGAAGGTGGGGTCAGATGCCCTGCAGCCTACCTGATCCCCATGCTGATAATGGAAAGGGCATGGGGCTGGAAAGGGCATTCTCCCTAACACTTGTGCTCCTGCCCTCCGGCATTGATGCCTCTTGGAGTTCCTTCAGCAGCCACCAGGGGCAACAGGCCACCCTTGTTCTTTATTCCCTGGGGACCTCGCTGGATAACCCTTCTGTTTACCCTTCTGTGATCTCTGTTCCACAGATAACGTGAAGGACTGGAGCAAGGTTGTTCTGGCCTATGAGCCTGTGTGGGCCATTGGAACAGGCAAGACTGCAACACCCCAACAGGTAACCAAGCCCAGGAGCACCACCCTTATCCTACCCTGTCTCAGTAGAACTGGACAGCCAGAGACCATCTGGGCCAACCCCTCATTTTAAAAGCAGGAGTCCCTAAGCCCATAGGAGGAGAGTGATTTGTTCAAGGACATGCATTCCAGGGCCTAGGGAGATCAGAGCCCTGGTATTCTGACTCAGGTCCCAGGGTTTCTGGGATTCCTTGAAACCATGCCGCCAGGGTTTTTTCACCTTTGAGGGAAAGGAAGTCTTTCTCACTTAGTCTGGCTTCTTGTTCTAGGCTCAAGAAGTACACGAAAAGCTCCGCGGGTGGCTTAAGTCCAATGTCTCTGATGCAGTGGCTCAGAGCACCCGCATCATTTATGGAGGTGAGTGGGTTTGGCTTCAACCTGAGGTAGGGTGGGCTGAGAACTAAACTGAGCCCTCCTTAGACATGGAGGTGGGGATAGAGTGTGCCTATCCCACCCCTGACCATTCATTCCTTCTCCCTTCTCCCCAGGTTCTGTGACTGGGGCAACCTGTAAGGAGCTGGCAAGCCAGGCTGATGTGGATGGCTTCCTCGTGGGTGGTGCGTCCCTCAAGCCTGAATTCGTAGACATCATCAATGCCAAACAATAAGCCCCTACCCTTCCTGCTATGCCAGGGACTACAAAACTCAGAAGTCCCCCTGCTCCCCCCCACCCCCACACATGCTTCTGACGATATCACCTGCCCCCTCTCGTGGCCTAATCCAAACTGTACCTCTTTACCGTTTACACCTTACCCTGTAATGGTTGGGACCAGGCCAATCCCTTCTCCACCTACTATAATGGTTGAAATGAAACATGTCACCAAGATGGCTTCTCCTTGGCTGAGGAGGTGGAAGAGGAAGAGTTTGCTCATGGTTCCCCTCAGTCCTCAGTGAAGGCAGGAGAGAGAAGCCACCATCCTCTCCCATCTCACATGATGGGGCCAAGGGCTGAGAGAGAGCATCCTATCCTCCCCTCAGAGGCTGGGGGTGCTGCTCTCACCCCTGGAGCCAATGCCTGTGTGTGTTGTGTATGTGAGCAGTCCCACCTGTTGGGGGGAATAAACACCTGGCACTAAGCCTGTGGTCCACCCTTCATTGTACTTGTCTCCACATCATCTTTTTCCTTTCTGAAGCAGCCTCAGGACCCTTGTGCAAAAAAAAAAAATACCACGAACAGGTTTTACAACAGCATACCTCTTATTTTTACTTGAAAAAATGTCTTGTATACCAGGCTGCCACAGCCCTGAATAACAACAGCTCCCTTCCTTCATCCCCTGGGTGGCTCTGGGGCTGTTGAGCTCCCCAGAGCTTGGGTTGGGGTAGGGGCCCAGCCTCACTTCCCCTCCCGAGCCTCACTGGTTTTAAGTAGCTGGTCTAGGCCAGCAGTGCCTCCCCTCTGGCCCCCGGGGAGGGGTGGCATTAAGGCCCCGTGCATCTGTGGTATCACAGGGTCACTGGTAGAGCAGGTAGCGCTTCATGGCAGGGGGCAAAGGCAGAGTAGATACCTGGCCCAGCCGGGCAGCCCCCAGCGCTTGGCGCACACACAGGCGGCTCAGGTGCAGAAGGGAGTGTGGCTCCGCTGGGAGAGAGAAGGAGGTGAAGGTAAGTAGGGGTACAGGCACCAGCCAGACATCCTCAAACTACAGGGTTCTCTTCTGCTTTCCTGC